AGATGATACAACCTTGCTTGCTGAAAGTGAAGAGGACTTAAAACATTTACTGATGAAGATCAAAGAGCACAGCCTTCGGTATGGATTACATTTCAATGTAAAGAAAACAAAAATCCTCACCACTGGACTAATAAACAACATTCTTATCAACAGAGAAAAGATTGAGGTTGTCAAGGACTTACATTTTTCTTGGTTCAACTATCGACACTCATGAAGTAGCAGTCAAGAAATCAAAGGATGTATTGCATTAGGCAAATCTGCTGCATAAGAGCTTTTTAAAGTGTTGAAGAGCAAAGATGTCAGCTTGAGGACTAAGGTGCGCCTGACCCAAGCAAGCCATGATATTTTCAATATCTCATATGGATGCGAAAGCTGGACAGTGAATAAGGAAGACCGTGGAATTGATGCTTTGAGTTTTGGTGTTGGAGGAGAATATTGAAAGTGCCAATGAGATGAATTGGCCAAGTGGCAGCATCGATGGACTCAAGTGTGGTAACAGTAGTGAGGTTGGCCCAGGATCGGGCAGTGTTTCGTTCTGCTGTGCATAAGGTCTCTATGAGTTGGTATCTACTTGATGGCACCTAACAACAACAACAAATTGGCGCTGTGTGATAATGCACTGGACTGCAAGGTTGGTTTGATTGCAAGGTCAGCAGTTCAAATTCACTAGCTGCTCCTCCTGTGAGAAATTCTCAAGATGGTCCATCTTCAGGTATATAAGGCCCAGGAGATTGCTAGACCAGACATAAATTGTTGATTCACACTCAGGGGTATGTGAGCAGAATGAGTTGGCAGAGGAGAAAGAACCTGGTCACTAGGAACTTTAAATAAGAATACAGCTATCAGGTGTAATGCCATAGGTAACATCTGGGGAAAGATTGTTAACCCCATATTACTCAGTCAGTGAGGAACCAGGGGAGGGACCTTTTAGGAATAAAGTATAATTCTTGGCCAGCCAGCCAAAAGGTGTGTGTCTCCCTGTGTCCTCTAGGGTGGGCGCCCGATTTTGCAAAACAATATAAAGAAAGCCTCACTCTTACAAAAATGAGTACAGATTGGGTTTCTGGAGCACTCATGATACCTCATTGGTGACCTCATAACAAAGAGAAACTATTTGTCATTTCTCATGCTCAGAAATCCTCATACAGGGTTTCTGAGAGTTGGAAGGGACTCCACAGCACTTAACAGCAACAACATTTAGCATTATACTGGAAGTCCTAAACAGAGCAATTAAACAAGAGAAAGACATAATCAGAAAGAAAAATGTTCCTTCCCCATTAACAAACTCAACTTCCCTCCAAAGTACCTATAAAATCTTTCACATTGCTCTTGTCACTTTAATTAATTTGGACAAACGAGGAGGGATGAGGAATCTATCCTGAAACAAGAAGTAAATACTATCCAGTTACCACTGCTGACCATTCTGGCCAGGGATGCTATAGGATCGTGCCAGGTAGAATGGGAAAAAAATATAGAACAGAACTTAAAATCTTAAAAAAAAAAGGGCCAGACTTACTGGATATATTCAGACTTCAGAAACCCTGAGACTGTTGCCCTAAGAGACCCTTTAAACTTCTGAACTGAAACTACTTCCAGAGGTCACCTATGTCTAAATAGCAGAATAACAGATTGGCTCTTGAAATGAACCATATCACTCATAAGAACTCCTTTAAAAAAAATTAACTGTGTGGGACCATATGGTCAACTGTAACACTAAAGCAAAGAAAAGTAAAAGAAGTAGAGTAGGGCAGGAAAACTAGATGAATGGAAACAGTACAACTAGATGGAAATAATTAGAATGTTGACACATTTTGAAAATGCAACCAATGTCACTGAATAATTTGTTCATAGTAGTTAAATGGAACCTAATTCACTTTGTAAACTGTAACTAAAAACTTAACTAAGGTATTACTTTTTAAAAATGGGAAGAAGACTTGAATTGACAATTCTGTAAAGAAGGTATATAAGTGCTGAAAAGATACTCACTGTCATTAGGAAAATGCTGACCAAAACCACAGGGAGCTAGCACTTCATTCCCAGTAGGGTGGCTGGTGTTGCAGTGGTTAAGCCCTTGGCTAACTGAAAGGTTCAGACCTCCCAGCTATTCCACAGGAGAGAAGGCCTGGTGATCTGTTCTCATAAAGATTACAGCCTAGGAAGCCTTGCAGGCAGTTCTCTGTCACAGGGTGTCAGCACAAAACAACAGAATGGTTCTCAGAAAAATGAACAAGAGCAAGTATTATCAAGGGTGTGGAAAAATTGAAACTCTCATTCATTGTTTGTGGAATGTATGTAAAAGGGACAGCTTCTGTGTAAAATGGTTTGACAGCTCCTCAGAAAGTTAAACATAGAGTTATCATGTGACCCAGCATTTCTACTCCTAAGTATATACCCCAAAGACTTGAAAGCAGGAATTCATACAGATACTTATATACCAATATTCATTATATTATTCACAGTAGTCAAAAAATACAAACAACTCAAAGTGGTCATCAACAGATGAATGGATATACAAAGTGTAGTATATCCATACATGGAATATTATTCAGTCATAACAAGAAATGAAGTTCTGATGAATGCTATAATGAGGGTGAACCTTGAAAACATGCTAAATGAAATAATTCAGACACAAAAGGAAAAATACTGTATGATTCTACTTATATGAAATACTTAGAATAGGCAGATGCATGAAGACCAAAGATTATTAATAGTTACCAAGGGCCTGGGGGAAGGAGCTAGTGGGGAGTTACTTTTAAGGGATACAGCGTTCCTGTTTGGCTTGATGGCAAACTTTGGGAAATAGTTAGTGGTGGTGGTTGCTCAACAGGGTGAATGTAATTGTGAAGTGCTGTTGAGTCAGTTCTGACCCATAGACAACTTGTATAGGGTTTCTGAGGAGCAACTGGTAGGTTTGAACTGCTGACCTTGTGGTTTGCAGTCCAGCGCCAAATCCTACTGAATCATATGAGAGGGTGACAAAAAGTTTATGGAAACATTCCATTATCTTTTTTTATTTTTGTAATTTTTTTTTCCTTTATTGTAGTGATTTGATTTTACAGTCATCATGAGATTAAATTTGAAGCACATATAAACCCAGAATAAAAGACATCCAGGAACTTTCCCAAAGATTAAAGAAGAGCTGAACTTATGTGATCACAAAACCATGCCTTTTGTTTTCAGATTACTAAAGCAAATCAGCATCAGCTACATCAGTGAAAATGAATTAAATCATTAAAGAATGGAAATTGTGGAAATAAACTGTTCTTGATTTTCATAGATAAAACAGTTCTAACATTTTAAATAACCTGTCAATAAGACTTGCTATCTAGTTAACATACACCACTAATATTTCTTTTTCTTTTCTTGAAAATACACAGATCCACTTCCATAGTATCCTTTACAAAACACACTACAGGACAAGGTGCATGTAACGAGATTTGTAAAAACTAACATTTTACCACAACTGTGTTTTTTCTGATACTTGAAATCATAAGTCAATTATTTGTCAATTTAACCTGTCTCTTGAAGGGGGGAAAAAAAGGCATCATTAGAATAACTGGCTCTATAGTCTTCAGTTATCTTTTCACAAACAAAACATTAATTTTTCACAATTTAAGAGCAGAAACATAACAAACAGCATTAACCGAAAGTCACTTATCCAAAGATAAATGATTAAGTATAAATCATTGTTCATTTCTTTACCATTTATCTCAGAAGATAATAAATAAGAATGATGTATAATTCATCAGTCTTTTTGAATTCCATCTCACATTTTTTATGTATTGTAAAAAATAAGGTTAATGTTTAAAAGGATTATTACTGAAAGACAAAATTGCTATCCTGACAGTTCAAAAAATATCAGCCAGACCCTTTTACAAACAAATTGCTATGGAAGTTTCAATATATGAGGTTAAAACCCACTTCTGCCCAATTAGGCTGTCCTAAATAAACATGAGAAAGAAAACAAACACACCTGTTCTCATTCATATCAGTTAGAAATTCAGTTTAAATGGGTTTCATAGATCATGTCTACCCATTTTAACACCTTAATATAAATAATAAAGCAACATTCATTATTCATCCTAACAATGTTTTAAGCAAAAATTCTAACATTGTTTTATAAAACTGCAAATGGAACTCTTTTCATGTACAGGAATGATCCAGACAATTATTTACCATAACCAACCCGTGAAACTTGAAGCTCTCACATTATTTTTTCTTAACTCAAGTATAGACAATTAGGTTACTGGAGTCATTTCCTCATCTGAGTCACTGGATTCATCTTTTTGTTTCAATTCTTCTAAGACTTTGTCTACAGTTGTACCATTTTTTTTTTCTTACATTTCTTGGGAATTGCATCATTAGCACAGATTGTTCTCGTTGTAGTGTTTCGCAACTTCTTCAGATTAAATTTCATTCCCTAAAAGTTCTCAGTTTACTAGCATCTACTGTGTTTGGAATCTCAAGGCCATATCCTTCATATTGCTGTCGCTCATGCTCCATCGTCTGCTTGATAACTGTCTCTTGAGAATAGTGTTGCCTTCTCCGTCTGTCTTTGATGCTGTTATGTAACTCAATCTGCTCCAACTCACTGCTCAATCGATTGATGTAACTTTCAATTCATTCACACGCATCCTTTTTGAATATTCTACTTTTTTGGCATAAAGATGATTTTGAAACTACTGTAGTTTTTCACCAATAATGTTGAGATGCACAGCTTTTTCATTATTCAATTTTTCTCTTTTTGTTTGTTCGTGGGCCTCATGATTTGAGCTGCTCTTCTACAATATGGATAGATGACTTTATTTTTCCTGTCCTCCATTTTTTCCCTTTGGTGCTTTGGCATAGCGACGTCTTCATAGCAGGTCTTAGAGATCCAGATAGGAGCAACCTTACCGGACAGAAGCAGTTAGAGATTAGCAAGCACTTCCCTCCATTATCTCTTAATTTCATTTTTCTGTGAACTTTTTGAAGCATCCTCATATATTTTAAAATGAGTAAAATAGCAAGCATTTTGTTATATACATTTTTACCACAATAACATTTTACAAAAAGAAGAGCCCACAAAATTATGGGGGGAAAAAAAAGATAAGGCATACTGGTCAGAAAGAGACTGGAGGAACCCAAAACTATGAAACTGAATACACCCCCATAGCTCAATTTTCAGCCAAGCAGGAGATAAGTGGAGAGTGGAGACAACACTATTGAAGCATATACACCAGGGAATGGTCAGCCGTTCAAGATCAAAAGGGCAGTATTTACCTAAAGACAGAGTTCAGAAGGGTTGGGAAAGAAGGTGAAATGGAAATAAGAGTTACAGGGAAAAAGTGAGGTAACTGTTGTTCCAGGTAGGGGATTGCAGACATTGAAATGAAATGAAATGTACGCTTAGTTGAATGTACAACTGATAATCTGCTCTGTCAACTTTCACTCAATTCCCAGTAAAAAATGAAAACAAAAATGAACCCAGGTTGCATGTTCCCTTCCAATGTAAAGCTACTGCTCTCCATGGTTCTTCAGGAATCCACAGCACCTGATACCTATCAAGCAGGGACAAAATCTTTGCAAATTAAGTGGTTTCAAAAGAAAAACAAGATAAGTTTTAAATGTATGAAATGGACATGCATCCTTTGGGCAAACATTCTAGCCTGCATCAGCCTATATTCATTTGATAAAACAGTAATTTGCTCAGTAAATTGTTATAGGTTGACATCAGTCCCGTGCCACACAGTTTTGCACAGGACTAATGTTAACCCATAACAAATTAGTCCTTGCACTAATTTTAACAGCATATTTGCATCGAGGGTCACAAAATGTCAATTTCTACCATCTTTTTTTTCCTCCCTTGCCAGATTCGACAGTCCTTCTGATATCTTAGGGAAAAGCCTTACCAACTTACAAAAACAGTTCAGTGAAATCCTTGCACAGTCCCAATGGGAAAGAGAGGAAGCACAAGTCAGAGAGAGAAAACTCCAAGAAGAAATGGCTCTGCAGCAAGAGAAACTGGCAAACGGACAAGAAGAGTTCAAGCAGGCCTGTGAGAGAGCCCTTGAAGCCAGAGTAAGAAAAGGGCAAGAGGAAGCTGGAGGGAAGTTTTTGGCAAATTTAGTGTTTCAGCAAATCACTATGCTGCCTTTCTTACGTAAATGCAATATAATTGTTGTTGTTTTCACTCATAACAAGTTAAACTGAGTGTCACTGAATTTTGACCCTGAATACTGATGTGAGAGGCAGGCTTGTTTGTGATGCTATATTTTTCTTGTTTTGGAAACAAGTGAGAGATGTTCATGACGTGAATGTAAATAACACCATACTGCTAGAGGATAGTGTGGCCCCAGAATCCTGTGTTTTATGTAAGGAATGTAATGATTTTTGGTGAACGTTCAAATGGATTCTAGAATGTATTCAAGGTAAAACTATCCCCAATACCTAATGAACCCAAAATATATTATACTCTTTAATAATGAAATACAATTCTCTAAGATGTTTGGGAAATGTATTTTGTTTAAAAGCTATCATTGAAACTTGATTTCCTCACAGATTAATTTTGATAAGAGGCAACATGAAGTAAGAATCCAGAAATTGGAGAATGAAATTCACTATTTACAAGAAAATCTGAAAAGTATGGAGGAAATCCAAGGCCTTACAGATCTTCAACTTCAGGAAGCCGATGAAGAGAAGGAGAGAATTCTGGCCCAACTCCAAGAGTTAGAGAAAAAGGTAAGGAAGACCAGAAAAATGAGACACAGAAGTATGTGCTGATCGAATCCTGCCTGTGAGGGCCACCAGTTTGGTGTCAGTGGGAGGAGTGTGATCCATGGGTACCGCTGGCTGAATTGCTGCCACAGAGGTGAACATGACCTAAGAGAGACCTAGAAGATGGGAAACGAGGGAGCTGGGAATGTGCGGAGTAAGTTTAGAGTCAGCTGGTATTCAGCAGATGCTTTTGGGTTGAGTTTGTCTGCTTAGAAATCCCTTGCCTGGTTGGTGGACACATTCATGGGGTATCTCACTTTCCTTTCTTATACCCTGCCTGCTCTTTGGACCTCTCCTCCAGCACACCTCAATTATCTACTCCTATTGTCACATCCTGAATCTTGTCAAAATCAGAAATTCCGCCTACCACCCTGGAATCACAAATCAAAGCATCCCACTCCAATTATAACCTCTTAGCTGCCAGCACCCCAACTCGACCAGTTTTTCACCCTTGATGAGACTTCCAGTTTATTAGCTATGCTACTTCCCCCCCACCGCCTTTTTAATCAGTTTAGTTAATTTTGTTCTTTTGCAATATCCTCAAGACCCCTGCCTTTTTCTCTATCTTGACTCCCTGACAAAACTGCAGTCTCTGCTATCTTTGGACCTTCACCCATCCTAAGTATTTTTGGAGGAAAAAATTCACCCAGGCAGGCATACTGGTAACACTATAAACTCTTGGTCCCTAACCTCAAATGGGCACTTCGTGTTTTCTCCTGAGTTTACTTTCGTGTGCTCTCCTCCCGTGTGTGCTGTACTCCTCATACTGTCCACCCCTCCTTCCAACTTCAGCAGATAACGTGCTCCATACTTCACTGAGAGCCCATCAGCTCTCAAGTGCTATGAGGTCCGCTCCAAATTAGTGCCGTGTCTTCAGTGTGTGCTCCTTGACCGTCTCTGATGTCAGCTATCACCCTCATCTAGCCAACTCTGGATGACTACTATAGCCACCTGACAAATCTCCCAGTTTTTCTCATACACTGCTCTCCACATAAGAGCTAATGTGCTCTTGCTAAAGTGTGAATTGGCTTTGTCAGTCCCCACGAGTTCAAGTTCTTAGAGTAATAATATGTCCAGATACGTTACTTCATAGGATAAAGACCAGGATTCTCTAGTCTCTGAGGTCCTCTCTTTATCTCTCTCAGCTCCTGTTTCCATTCAGTTCCTTAATAATGCTGAGGTCCTCTCTTTATCTCTCTCAGCTCCTGTTTCCATTCAGTTCCTTAATAATGCTGAGGTCCTTATTCCCTCCTACCCTTCCCCCGTGTCATTTTTTCACTGTTCTTCTGACCGTCCCCTCCTCCACCCGTCTAGAGCTCTCCTGCTATCGTCTCTGAATAGTACCCTGTCCTGTGCATTTATAACACTGTTGTTAAGTGCCGTTGAGTCGGTTCCGACACACAGTGACCCCTGTATTGGGTTTCTGAGGAGCAGCTGGTGAGCTTGAATTGTCGACCTTGTAGTTTAAACTAACTTTGCAGTTCGGTTCAGTAATCCACAGCATCACACCAAGATTTCTTTAAAACACTGTCATGGGTTTAATTTTACATATTTCTGATGATTTGTTTATTATCTGTGTGTTGTACACTATAAGCTCCAAGACTATTATGGTTATCACCCTTTGCCCAGTGCCTGATTCAGTGATTGATTCTAAGTATCTGATCTGTCTGAGGTGACAAGTGTTTGTGAATGATGATCACTAAGATTCTTGTCTGGGAAGACTAATTGGATTCCAAGCTTACCATGCAGTTTTGAGATATTTTCAGTCATCTGTTGGTTCTGTGAATATTCTCAAGTGTCTGCTGTGTACCAGGCATAGTTGTAGGTAGAGGGCATGCAGCAGTGAACAGAGTCCCTCTCGTGGAGTTTACATCTAGCAGACTGCACTAAGGGCAAACATGAGCAGAGTGCGCTGCGTTCTCACGGTTTGGCTCTTTTGATTTTTTCTGCCAAAGGACTCATCTGTTTAATGAATGCTTCTTTTATTTTAGAAGAAAATTGAAGATGCCAGGTCCCAGGAGCAATTTCTTGGCTTAGATAAAGAATTGAAGAAACTAAAAAAAGCTGTGGCTGCCTCTGATAAGCTAGCCACAGCTGAGCTCACCATTGCCAAAGACCAGCTTAAGTCCCTTCATGGAACTGTTAGGAAAATTAACCAGGAGCGAGCAGAGGTGAGTTTATAGATAGTGAGACAGTTTTCCATCAGTTATACTGCGGGTACAAAATTTAGCAACTTTATTATTGATCTCTTGTTTTAGACTTTATTTTATAAAAACTAAATTTGGTGGTTTCTCTTAAGAACTGAAGATTTTATTTCCCTTACTACAACTCCAGGAAGTTATTTTGTGCCACCATGGGCCTTGCACTCTGTTGAATGCTGAAAGGAATCATCAGGGAATCCTTCTGGCCCCACCTGAAGGGATTTTTGATCTGCTTAGGAAGGTTTCAAGACACACCTAGACAAGGATTTTGAGGGCTTACCGTATGGTCCCTCTGAACTTCAGATTTTTCATCATGTGCAGTCAGATGATGCTCAGTTACTTCACAGAGCAGTTAGGACTCCTGCCTGAGTTCATGTTGTTATGGTGGTGCTCTGGAGATTACAATGCTAATGAGATTACAATTAGTAAATCATTTCAGTGACACCAGTCATGGACAGTAATAGAGCCAGCCCCTTTCCATTTAGCTCCCATAGTGGGTACCGAGTGGGCTGCCACATGTCCCTGGGACAGCCAGACAGGCAACTGATTCAAGAGGAATCGGTATGAGAGAGGAGACACTGAGAAGACTACCTGTGATGGCCGTCCTGCCGTTTTTTCTACCTTTGTCCTCGCAGGAGCTGCAGGAAGCCGAGAGGTTCAGTAAAAAGGCAACGCGTGCAGCCCGGGATCTGAGCCGAGCAGAAGCAGAGATTGAGCTCCTGCAGAATCTTCTCAGGGACAAAGAGGACCAGGTCAGTACTGGCAGGCACACTGAGACTTTTTCCTTACTGAGTGCTTTTTAGTTTCTGAAAGAACAATGACTGCGGCGGACACCTTAAAGAATTTTAAAGTGCAGTCAGTAGTCCATCCATGTTTTATATTGCACCAAACACAGAGCAGTTTAAAGATAAGGAGTAATTTGATTTCCTCACTGGGGAAATGTAAATAAAAGTTACAGATTTATGATCAGGTTGCAAGGATAAGTGCATCTTGGAAAGAATTAATTTATTGGCAGCTTTTTGCATATGATTTGTCCATAGTTTCTAATGGAGATGGAGAAAGCAGATGCAGGCACCTTAGTAGGCAACTCACAGGTGCTGGAAATGGATAAACTCAATGAGATAATGGAGAGACAAAGGACAGAGATTACAAGGCTGCGGAATTTACTAGACCTCCCTGGGGCTGGTAAGGCTTTGAATTCAGTAGTGCTTTGGTGGTGGTTGTTTTCACAGCAGATAGTAGTATTTTAAAATGAAGTCTTCGTTTTTCGTCTTTTTTGTTGATCTGTTGAAAAATAATTCAATGTTTGGTTTACTTATTATTTAAGCTGTCTAATTAGCTTAATGAATAAGTGCAAAATCTAGAAAGTTAATTACAAAGAAACTGACAAGAGACTTGTATATTCAAAAGAAATGATGCTGACATGTCTGTAAATTTGCTTTCTTTGCCCCATTTTTTAACAGCAGAAGGATGTGTGCATCCTTTTCAAGTATTAGCAAAAATGAATTACAAAAGGCCAGGCTTCAAGCCAGCTTCAAGGAGCTGATAAAATTTATTGGCAGTCATGAAATCCATTTTGGATTTTGAGAGAGAAAGGAAGGAAGTGGGTGATTTCGTACCAATTTCCTAAAACTGCCTTCCTTTACAGCTAGCAAAGGAGGCTTTGAAAATGTCTTGGAAGAAATTGCTGAACTCCGTCGTGAAGTTTCTCATCAGAATGATTACATCAGCAGCATAGCAGATCCTTTCAAAAGACGAGGCTATTGGTACTTTATGCCACCACCACCATCATCAAAAGTAGGAACTATGTGGTGCTGGGAGTGTGTACTGAATTTTCTCAAAGAAAACATGACAGTGTCTCTTCCTCAAATATGTGAACAGGAATCATACAGAAATATTTATATACCAACCATACATTTATTATGCTAAATTATATATTAAGAGCCACAAAGTTGAGGTTCAAAACTGTTTTTAATACTGAGATAAAAATCAGGCCGTCCCAGAGAAGAAGTAGTAATTGTCCTTTTGTGTTCATGTGGTGTGTGCTGTGGGTCCCTGAATGAGGATGCTGTAAGAGGATTAGGTGAGTCAAGTCCAGATAGCCTGTTAAAAATGGAGATAAATTATGCCGAGGTGCAGACAGAAAAATAGACACCTGATTACATTTCATTTTAACAACGTATACCCATGCTTCCTGTAGACTAGTCTGGTTCTCAGCAATGGTGGGGTACCCAGAGGACTGGTCCCATGGGGAAGTTCACCCCATGTGGTAAAGTTAGCAGTTAATAAGCAGAGAGGGATGGGCTTTTAGGAAGGAGGGAACAGCTGGTATGAAAACAATAGTTGGTTTAGGCCTGGCCTCGTGGGGCTAGAGGGCTGAATGAGAACAGTGAAAGTTGAAGCTGGAGAAATAGGCTGGGATCATAGTGTTTTTTAAAGGGCCTTGAAATTCCTGGTACTTAGACTGTGGGAAGCTGGGGGTATGTGCAACATGGTCAGAACTGTATCAACTCTATTTTGGCTGAGTGTGGGGGCTAGACTGGTGGCAGAGTAAGGTTTTTATGTGACTGTTAGCAATCATTCAGGTGAGGGATAGCAGAAACCAGTCCTAGACCAGTGCTAGGGGAGGAGAGATGGAATGGAGAGTTGTTGAGGAGACAGAACAGTCAGGGCTTTGTGCCTGACTGGGTGAAGGGAGGAGAACACTAGGCTGCACATATCCAAGCAGAGGCCCTGGGTGACAATTTGAAGAGCAAGGATTAGAAATGGCTCTGATGGGATCCCAGGACTGTGTAGGTTTAACCAGAACCCAATGAACAGAATCTGGGACCTTTCTCCCAATATCCTTGGCGCAGTCTGAGGTGGAGGTGGATCTACAGCAAGATGGCTTAGAACAAAACATTGTAAGCCTGAGCTGAATAGGGAGAAAAGAGGAGAAAAATAGAGCAGAACTTTAAATTCAAGCCAACCTCCCAGAACAGCAGGAGACTTCAACTCCTAGGATTGAAAATGGAAAATTCACTGGTTTCTCTTGCTGGGCCATCAAGGACCAAGCAAAAGAAGAGAAAACACTAGGGAAGATGAGCACAGGGAGAAGAATGGCTGAACTCAGGGGTCTGATCACTTACGGAAAACTTGTTTTCCTTTTTCACTGACCCAACCCAGTAGCCGTGTATTGTGCTTTTCCCATTTCAACATGATCAAGGACTTGTGATCTCTAGAAAATTATATTGAAAGGCAGGACAAGAAATGAATGTTACCAAATAGTCATTTTTGAAGTGCTAAGTGGAGTATGTTGCTTTGACTAAATTTTGAGCCCTTCATTTTCACAAAGCATTCTGATCTGACCTCAGCCATTGTGCACACAGCTCTGTTCTCAGCACCGCCTCCCTAAAGGTGCCAGGCCGACAGCATCCAAAGGGCTAGCAACCAACTGAACCTTTGTACAGGACCCTGTAAACACTTCTCACTTCTGGGAAAAATGAGAATTCTAATATATGGCTTTTGACAGTTCTAGAATTTACAACATTTCTCAAAATCATCCTTTCCATTTGTAATAAATAGTATACTCTGCTATCATTTATTTTAGGTTTCTAGCCATAGTTCCCAGGCCACCAAGGACTCTGGTGTTGGCCTAAAGTGTGCAGCCTCAACTCCAATTAGAAAACCACATACTGGGGAGCAAGATGGGAAGGAATGCAGTGGACTGCCACCCGCCTCAGGATACTGGGTTTATTCTCCCATAAGAAGTGGCTTATATAAGTCTTTTTCAAATAGAGGTAGGTTAAACCACGTAAGGGAGGTTGCACTTTTCTTGTCTGTTTCATAACATTTTACTAGCTCTCTGAAGTTCGTAAGACATAGTCCAGACTCCTTAACTTGCTCTGCAAGGTCCTCTGTGATCTGGTCTTGGCCAACAACCACATATGAAGCCTCACCTCCCAATGCTCTCTCGCACATGTCATCCACACCCAACTGCATGTCATTTTCTCAAAACTCCGTGTTTTAAACCTTCTGTGTGGAATGTCCTTATTGTTTTTTCCTTTCCCCATCTTATTCTTACTTTTCTTTCAGTAAGACCCAGTTTTCAAACATTACACCGTTTATGAGCAGCTTCTTGGTTTGTACTGCTGATCAAGGCGGCATATGTCCTTGTGTCAGGGCATTCATCTCACTCTACTAAATGAATGTGTTTGGAGGTCTGCCTTCCAAAGTTCTGAATGTGGACAGTCAAGACTTGGGGTGAATCCTGGCTCTTTTAATTTAATAGAAATGAAGATGATTTAATTGTTCTTAGACAGTTCATCTGTAAGGTGAGAATCCAATCTTATGAGAATGAGTTCATTCAGGAATTGTTTATTGGGTTCTCTGTTTTCAGTGATAAACAAGAATTATTTCCTGCTTCTAGGGGAGATAAGTAAGCCCCTCACTAGAGAGTGCTGTATGTCATGATGCAGGTAAATACTGGGTGCTGGAGTTGCTCTCAGCACATATCTGGTGGTCTTTTATGTGGTGTGCTGAGTGAAGGAATGAGCAAATGGACAGATAAACCAAAAGATAGGTAATAATGAAAACTCAAGTCTCAGCCCCTGAAAAGACTTTGAATTCCTGTTTTGATCTGCTTTTGGCCTGTTTTCCTGTTTTATTCTCATATCTCTGGTATGCAGACCTGAGTTCTGCAGTTCTCTACTTAATCTGTTTGCCTTGTAAAACACGGGAGTGAAACCCTCTTCTGTTCATTTCTTTGAAGATGAAGACAGTGGAGGAGATAGCCAGGAAGAGAGTGACGTGGCTGACCAAGAGGAGCCCCCATTTGCCCCTCCGCCTGGATACATGATGTATACAGTCTTTCCCGACGGGTCTCCTGTGCCGCAGGGCATGGCCCTGTATGCACCACCCCCTCCCTTGCCCAACAACAGCCGACCTCTCACCCCCGGAACTGTTGTTTATGGACCTCCTCCTGCTGGGGCCCCCATTGTGTATGGACCTCCACCCCCCAACTTCTCGATCCCCCTCATCCCCATGGGTGTGCTGCATTGCAACGTCCCAGAACATCATAACTTAGTAAGTGGAAAGATGCCAGGTCCCCACCCCCTCTTCTTCCACAGGTGACTGAACAGGCTGGATCCAGAATGTCACAATTTCAGGTGCTATGTGAATGGCTTGTATCCCGAAGGTGGATTGGTAAGGCCGATGTTTAGAAGTGTGCGAGCCTTCTCTTATCATATTGTGAAGAGGAGTTATGATCCCAGGCCAGTCTATAAAAATCCATTTTTATAACAAATAAGTTCAATCCAGAAATTAACCATTTAAAAAATGGTCTCTATTTTTCTATTAAAAATTCCATATTACTGTGTGTGCATATTCACTTACTAGTGCCTATACTTGTACACGTATGTATAGATATATATGTGTGTGCATGTTTTTAGACACAGATAAACAGTGTTCAGCAAGGTTTTGATGGGGATTATCTCTGGATGGTAAGACTGATTTGTCACTCTTTCATATTTCCTTTCAGAGTTCTTTTCTTCCTCTACATACAATTTTTGTATGCTGCTTTTCCCACATAATGTTATAAGCAGTTCCCCATAGTTTTAACAAGTTTTTAAACAGCATTTTTAATGGTCGTACAGCATTTTTTAAATTTGTAAGTACTAGTTTGTTGTTAGATGCCATCGAGTTGGTTCCAACTCATAGTGACCCTATGTACAACAGAAAGAAAAACTGTCTTCTACGGTGTATGTTCTTTTCTCACATTAGAAAAATTAGACTAGCATGACTAGAAAAAGATTACTTCCTAAGCACTAGGTGATTAACTTTACAGTTCTGAAGAAATAAAATGCATTCTAATATTCTTCAACCCCTGAATACCTCCAGCTCTTTTTTTTGTCCTTCCTTTCTCATCCAATTGATGGAAACATAAAGGGCTAGGACACCTGTGTGCCAAGCCACCAACTGTATTTTAATAAATGAGACTAGTTTCCTATATCTACAAAATAAAAAATGATAGTCACTGGTAATATCGTACAGTTTTTTAATACAACGTTATATTTATAACAATTCTGTCTCCTCAGCATTTGTTGATAATCTCTTAAACAAGTTCTTTAACTGTCCAACAGTGCCCCTCTGTTTTAGCTTCCCAGGTGCGCTTTTCTACCAATCTACGTTCGTGCATGTTCTTTCCTCCGCCTGGCTCTTTCTCATTTCATTCTTCTTCAGAATATCCGTTCCTCTGGGCAGCCTTCTCAAAAACTCCCCTCCCATGTGCCCAGTGGAGGGAGAGGCCTCTGGTCTGTCTCTTCTACTAGAGTCTGCATGTTGAGACAGAGATTACCTACTAGAGGTGCTTGGTGGGACTAACGGAAACGTTCAAACCTCAGTGAATCCATTGTGATGTGGGAAAAAAAAAAAAAAAATCAGTGACTTCGTTCTTCTTTTCATACTAACGTCTTAGAATCTACCACAATTTCAGATTATAGATTCCACTTTAATCATTGTTAATGTTTAGGAGGTTTGGGCAAAAAAGAAAATATCCTTAGATGTTTCAGTATTGCGTTTTATTGTTGTCCAGGAGAATGAAGTTTCTAGATTAGAAGAAATAATGCAGCATTTGAAATCAAAGAGAAGGGAAGAAGGGTGGATGAGAGTCTGTACGCGGCCGTCTGAAAAAGAAATGGAAGAGTTGCATCATAATATTGATGGTCTTTTGCAAGAGAAGAAAGACTTAGAGCATGAAGTAGAAGAGCTACATAGGACCATCCAAAAACATCAACAGCGAAAGTAAGATTATTAGCTATTTTATTGTTATAATTCAGGTGAATATGAGATTAATTCTTTAAGACAGTGTAAATTCAGTGCTAAGAGAGCTTTCTGCAGTCTTGAAAATGTTCTAGATCTGTACTGTCCAAAATAATAGCCACTAACTTCATGTGGGTACTTGAAATTGTCCAATTGACTAATAACAGCAACTTAATTTTAACTAGGTTACATGGTGACTATCATATGGAACAATGAAGGTCTAAATCTTTTTGGCTGATAATCCCAATCCATTTTTCTTGTATCCCTCTTGGATAATGGCGTAACCATCTCTCCACCATATCTATAAACAGTTCAGGTCTTTCCAACTTTCCCTTTCCCTCACTCCCAAAGGCATTCAGTTGTTCACTGAGTCCTCCTGACTCAAGGAGCTCTCAAATAGGTCCCACTCTTTTACCTCCGCTGCACCTGCCTCTCGCCAGTCTCACCTTAGGCCTCACCTTAGGCCGTTGTGACAGCTTCCTCACTGGCCTCCCCTGTCTAGTTTTTTCCTCTCCGCTCTACCTTCAGATTGACTGCAAATCTGGCCATACTACCCTCCCAGGTCACTCTCCATCATAACAGGATATGCACCACCCTCCAGGATCTCAGAAGGCCTGAGGTGGCCAGCCCTATTGGATCAGCACTGGATTGTTAACCACAAAGGTGTCAGTTCAAACTCACTAGCTGCTAGCTGCTTCTTGGAAACCCTGTATAGAGTTGCTATGAATCAGATCCTATTCGACAGCACTTAACAACTAGGATCTCAGTCCTGTTTTGTTTTTAAAATCCTCTTCCACAAAGTGATCTATTCCTGCTTCCACCCTGTGGTGTTCCTGAGCATGCTGGTTTTTTCCCTGTCTCCACACCTTTGTGCTGTTTTCCCTTCCGTCTCCCACTGAACTCCAGGCTGTTTTACAAGAGGAAGGTTAGGAATTTCCTCTTTTAAAAAGCCTTTCTTTCATCAGACCCCACAACTCAGGGTTAAGAATGGGTCATAGTACTGTTCACACAATGTTATAAGGAGACCAGGAGCTCCTTGAGGATAGTGGCAGGGCGTTCGTTTGTGTCCCAGCCTGTGTCACTGCTAGCACACAGCTTTCATGAGTGCTGCATCAAGTGATTGGACCAACTTCTGCAGTGGTCAGTAAATGATTACATTTCCCTAGTTGTCATTTAAGCCAGGTGGGGCCAGGCTCCAGGGTAAGGGGAGACCTATGGGAGGACACACATGGTGGGCACTGCCTTCTAGGAACAGATATGTGAACGACTAACTGATCTTTCAAGGAATAGCAGGGACAACCCTCAGAAGAAGATCGGGACTAGATCTATATTGAGGGGGGTGATTATAGCTATTATTTTGTGGGTACATATGTGAAAAGGAGTCGTGGTAGCATAGTGGGTTATGCATTGGGCTGCTAATGGCAAGGTCAACAGTTCAAATCCACCAGCCACTCTTCAGAAGAAAAATTAGGCTTTCTGCTCCTGTAAAGATTTACAACCTCAGAAATGCTATACCCGGATCACTGAGTCAGAACCAACTCTAACAGCACACAGCAGCAGCAGCAAATATGTGAGGGCCTTTGTTGTTTTGTTTGGATTGTGAGGTGCGTTTTAGCAGGGTTGTCATAAGGAGTAATCATTTCACTTCCGTGTTGTAAACTTGTAATAAATGATTCGTCTAAGAATCCTGGATAAGACAAAAATACTCAAAGAAGAAAATAATTCTGTGCTCCTCAGTTAGAAAGAACCTGTTAAGGTGAGTCTGTCTTCATTTCTGTCCTGAAGTGTGGAGAGTCCCAGCTTCTAACTGTGTTATGTTGTTGCTCTTGCTACTGGCAACATTGGTTTGGCCAAGTGTTGACAATACGGTAATTTTTGTTGTCTTTATACATTATGTATAATGCAGTATATCCTGGTGTGGCACTGTGGGTTAATGCACTGGACTGCAAAGTCATTTTGAACCTCAAGGTTGGCAGTTCAAGGTAACCAGCTGCTTCTTGGAAACCCTATACAGACAGTGTTGCTATGGGTTGGAACGGACTTCATGGCACTTAACAACAACAATACCTTCTTGAACAAATAATAAATGTAACTTGAATGTATTTGAATGTAGTTTCTTTTTTTTTTTTTCCCTTATATAAATGAGAATATTGTAATGAATCAATTTACCAGTTAGGCTGTAAGTGTCTACTTTGTCTGCATGTCGCAGCCTTTCATGCATGTCTGTATATTTTTTCCTAAGGGACTTCATTGATGGAAATGTTGAGAGTCTTATTACTGAACTAGAAATAGAAAAATCACTCAAGCACCATGAAGATATTGTAGATGAAATTGAATGCATTGAAAAGACTCTTCTGAAACGCCGTGCAGAGCTCAGGGAGGCAGACCGACTCCTGGCGGAGGCTGAGAACGAACTCACAAGCATAAAAGAGAAAGTATGTCCTCTTGTGATTTTAGCTGGGAATTCAGTGTGGGTGAGACAGGAAGGATTGTTGTTGTTGTGTGCTGTCGAGTCAGTTCCAACTCATAGCAACCCTTCATAGAGTTTCTGAGGCTGTACACCTTTACGGGAGTAGAAAGTATCATCTTTCTTCTGTGGAGTGGCTGGCGGACTCAGACTGCTGACCTTTCAGCTAGCGGCCCAATTCATAACCCATTCAGCCACTAGGGCTCCTCACAATAAGAAGTAGAGAAATTAGGGTAAGAGCACAAGTCAGGCAACTGGGTTCTGGGCCAGACTGCTACTTTAGGAGCTGTGGGAATTTGGAAAATCATTTTAAGTCACCAGAGCTTTGCTTTCCTCATCTATAAATTGACAGTGAGAATACCTGCTTCACAATGCTGTTTACTATGAATTACATGACGTTACATATATTTAAAGCACATGTAGGTTCCATCAAACTCCACTTCTTACCTTGTCAGTGTCTAAGATCCGAGTGTTTTGAATAGATCTTACTTATATTCATTTAAAGACTCAATGGACCTCACAAGCCTTGTGGTCTTACTTTTTCCCCAAGATGGTAATGTTATAAAATCAAAGATTTTGGGTCTGAGACAGTACTCTTTAGACTATAACAATAGAATGATGTTGAGGCAGAAAGGGAGCTAACTTTTACTGAGCCCCTTTTATAGCCCCACGTTATTGGGCTTTCCATTTATAAATGCAATTTAATTTAATCCTTTAGGCAACCTCATTATATGGGGCTAGTCCAGTTTACAGGTGAAGCTTATATAGTCTAGGGACTGACCCAGGATCACACAGCTGAAATTCTGCCTTATCAAGAGAGCTTTTAGAAAATTTCACGATGGAAAAAATTCCTTACTCACATGGAACAATTTAGGAGTGTGGTGCAGACTCTTGGCGTGGTGCCGTGGGTTAATGCACTGGACTGCAAAGTTGGTTTGAACTGCAAGGTCGTTGGTTCAAGCTCACCAGCTGCTCCTCAGAAACCCTATACAGGGTCTTTATGAGTCAGAACCAACTCTACAACATTTAACCAAATAGCAACAACTTTTGTATTAAGGAGCTCTGGTAGCAGAGTGGTTACAAATTGGGCTGCCAGCCTCAAGGTCATCAGTTCAAAACTAGCAGCTGTTCCATGGGAGAAAGATAAGGTTTTCTGCTCCCGTAAAGATTTACAGGAGTTCTGGTATGGCACTGTGGGTTAATGTGCCAGACTGCAAAGCCATTTGAACTGCAAGATTGGTGGTTCAAGCTCACCAGCTGCTTCTTGGAAACCCTATACAAGGTCGCTATGGGTCGGAACCGACTCGTTGGTACTTCACAACAACAACAAAGATTTACAGCCTCAGAAACCCTATTCTCAGATTTACAGCCTCAGAAACCCGACCTAGGGTTGCTGTCAGTCAGAACCGATTATATGGCACATAACTACCACCACTTTTATATTGCAAGAGCCCTGATGGCATAAAGGATTATGAATTGGGCTGCTAACTGCAAGGTCAACAGTTCAACTCCACCAAACACTCCACTGGAAAAAGATGAGGCTTTCTGTTCCCGTGAAGATTTACAGTCACTATGAGTCAGAACTGACTCAATGACATACTACCATTACAATTTTTATATTGTACATGGATCTTTCTAAATGATCAAAAATCTGTTATCTAAGGGCGGAAATGAATGAGTTAATGAGTTAAGTTATTCAAAAAATTCTGTGAGTGATAGCTATAATAAGAATGGAAAAACATCCACGTCTCTTTTCAGATGACCAATTCCTTCTGCTATCATGTTAGGTTACCTGTGAAAGAAAATAGCTGTGAGAAAGAGAAAAATTTATCACTGGTATGTATGTATGTATGTATGTATATATGTGTGTGTGTGTGTATATATATATATACACACACACACACAAATATACACATACACACCAGATGCTCCGTGGGAGAAAGATGAGGCTTTCTGCTCCCATAAAGATTTACAGCCTCGGAAACCCTGTACAGGGTCGCTATGGGTCGGAACCGACTCGACGGCACTTAACAACAACAACATATATACATATGTATATATGGTATCATCAATAATACACATCTACATATATATGTTAATGATGGTACCTGTAGTAAGCGGAGTTAGTAATGGAACCAAAATGCCTCAGATGACTCAGGGAAGTATCTGGTAGGGAGGAGGAGTGAGGAAGTAGCTGTGCTGTGTAAGGACTGTGTCAGACATGTTAAAACCTGACAGAGTAGACAAAAGCTCCTTAGAAATGTGATCTTCGGGAATGCTTAGTAAGGCTTGCTTATTGCTTTGCTAATAGAATGGACTAATCAACTATCTGAAAGGAAATAGAGTGAGCCATCTAGGTCTCTCAGAGTTTGACAACTCTTATGCATATACACAGAATATTTTATAGACAAGCTTAATATACAGACACCTGACATTAGTGCAACAGCAAAACTTGACTTCACTGGATGAAGGTGAGTCACTGCTCAACCAAATACAAACCAAGCTCTTGTTTATTGCTTTCTTTTAAGCTTCGTATTTTATACAGAAAAAGAAATTAGGTTAATTTTACATATATATATGTTGATGCTGTTGTTACGGGCCACTGAGTCAGTTCCAACCCATAGTGATTCTGTATAGGGTTTCTGAGGAGTGACTAGTAAGCTTGAACCACTGACCTTGCAGATAAAACAGATTTTCACATGCAGTGCATTACCTCACGGCACTACTCCAGGACTCCATATATATCTTTGCATATATGTGTGTGTTATTTTTGTTGCTAAGTACCATGGAGTTGGTTCCAACTAATAGTGGCGTTATGAACAACAGAATGAAACACTGCCCTGTCTGTGCTGTCCTCACAGTTGTAATGTTTGAGCTCATTGTTGCTGCCACCATGTTCAGCTAGCTCGTTGGGGGTTTCTTTTTTGCTGACCCTCCAGTTTGGGTAAAGCAGGACTGATCCCTCCCAACAACATGTCCAGAGTATGAGAGATGAAGTCTTGCCATCCTAGCTTCTAAGGAACATTCTAGTTGTTCTTCTCCAAGACAGATTTGTTTGTCTTTGTGGCAGCCCACGGCACTTTCAGTCTTCTTCAACACCATAATTGCAATGTATTGATTCTTCTATTGTCTTAATGCTTTACATTTAAAGTATTTTAAGTATTCTAATGCAATATGTTGTTTGATTTCTTGACTGTTGCTTTCATGAGTGTTGACTATGGATCCAAGCAAAATGAAATCTCTAACAACATTTTTGTCCAGTTATGATGATATTTATTGGTCCAGTTGTGAGGATTTTTGTTTTCTTTACATTAAGGTATAATCCATACTGAAGGCTGTAGTCATTCATCTTCATCAGTAAATACTTCAAGTCCTCTTAATTTGTAGAAAGCAATGTTATGTCTTCTATCTATCACAGATTGTTAATGAGTCTTGCTCCACTCCTGATGCCATGTTCTTCACAACCCGAGGCTTGAATTTTTTTTCTAGTTCTTTCAGCTTGAGAAAAGCTGAGCGTGTTCTTTCCTTTTGATTTTCTAACTCCAGGTCTTCGGACATTTCATTATAATACTTGACTTTGTCTTCTCAAGCTGCCCTTTGAAATTTCTTGTTCAGCTCTTTTACTCCATCATGCTTTCCAGTTGCTTTTAACTTCTTTACGTTCAAAAAACAAGTTTCAGCGTTTCTTCTGACATTCACTTTGGTCTTTTCTTGCTTTCTTGTCTTTTTAGTGACTTTTTGCTTTCTCTGTTTATGATGTTCTTGATGTCATCCCACAGCTCTTCTGATCTGTCATTAATGTCTAATGATCAGCTCTGTTCTTGATGTGGTCTCAAATTCAGGTGGGATATTCTCAAGATCGTATTTTGGCCCTTCTGGAATTAATTTAATTTTCTTCAGCTTCAGCCTGAACTTGAATATGAGCAATTGGTGATCTGTTCCACAGTCCGCACCTGGCCTTGTTTTGGCAGATGACACTGAGCTTCTCCATCATTTCTTCCCATAGATGGAGTTGAGTTGATTCCTATGTATTCTATCTGGTGTGGTACACATGTATAGTCACCATTTATATTGTTGAAAAAGATATTTGCAATGAATAAGTAATTGGTCTTGCAAAATTCTATCATGTGATATATAGCATCGTGTCTATCACCAAGACCATATTTTCCAACCGCCAATCCTTCCTCTTTATTTCCAGCCTTTGCATTCTAATCACCAGTAATTATCAATGCATCTTGATTGGGTGTTTGATCAATTTCTGACTGAAGAAGTTGGTAGAATTCTTCAGTTTCATCATTGCTGGGTTTAGTGATTTGTGCAAAAATATGAATATTATTATTAACTGGTGTTCCTTGTAGGCATATGAATATTATCTCATCACAGACAGTATTGCACTTCAAGCTAGATTTTAAAATGTTTTTTATGATGAATGCAACACCATTCCTCCTCATTTTGTCATTCCCAGTATAGTAAACCATACGATTGTCTGATTCAGAATGGCCAATACCTATCCATTTCAGCTTACTAATACCTAGGATATCAATCTTTTTGTTCATTTCATTTTTGGTAACTTCCAGTTTTCCCAGATTCATACTTTGTACATTCCACATTTGATTATTAATGATGTTTGCAGCTGTATCTCCTCATTTTGAGTTGTGCACCATCATCCGTGTTAACATCAGCTCTACTTTTGATAGGCAGCTCTTCCTCGGCTATATTTTGAGTGCCTTCCAACCTGAGAGATTCATCTTCCGGCACTCTTCTGCTGCTACTCTTTTTGTAAGAAAGCTTTTATATTGTGAACTGACTGATAGTTTACATGGGAGAACATCCGTTTTACGCTTAACGTATACCACTTTGTTTCATTGCAATGATTATTTGTTTCTATTCCCTCTTTTTTTTTTTTTTTTATGTGCACAAAAAACTTAGAAATATATGATCATTTAAACAACCAAAGGGCACATTCTGCAAGCCTACCTCCTTGCCACCAGCACACAGTCTTTCTCTTTCATTGAGTCTAGATTCCTGAAATGTTCTCTCTCTCCATGCCATCATCTCTGCCTCTACCCCGGGTGTCTTTGTTTCTTTGGGTATGGCCCCATATTCCAGCTCATGCTCTTCGCCCTCAGTAGTCTTAGGGTCCTCTGTTCCTGGACTGTAAGATTAATTAGTCCCCCCTTTTAGTTACAAAACTTCTGCCTTTACAGTTATGACAATCACAGTTAGTCATGATAACAATTACTATTAAATCATAAGAATTTTATCCCCATCTCCTTTCACCAGAACCGTCTAGACGAGATGAAAATTTTTCAGTGGGGATTCTACCTTCCCCTGCTCGCTCTAAAACTAAACTTCCTCTTGAAAACTTGTAAGCCAGTCACTTCGTGGCTTTTAAAGCCCCCCATTTTAGGTAGCCAAATGTCTAAGTTGCCCATCCTTATCAATCCTGTATACTGAGGGGATATATTTGATTCTTGATGTGAAGACTCCTTCCCTCTCGGTTGGTACTTTGAGCTACTACATCCACAAGTATAGGGCAAGTTCATCAAATTGTATCAGCTTACACTTGCTTCCTTTAACAAATTTCTTTATCTTCCTTTAGTTGAGCTCTGGTCATCAAGTCATCAAGGCTAGGTCAAATGGGTACTATCTTATCTGCAAGTTTGGGCATTCTTGTGTGTCTTCCCCCACTTCATATCAGCTGGATGCATCATTCTCAGCTCTAGCCCTCCATGACTAGGTTAATGTCACAGATTGTTAATGAGTCTTGGGCTCAGGAGTTCCCAAGTCTCACCAAACTTCGGACCAGCTCTGCTGCTGTTCTTAAGGTGTTCAGTTGCTAACCATTCAGAAGTAGTCTGCCTCTCCTTCTTCCACCATGGGTGATCCTGCTGGTGTTTTTACTGCTGGCATAGCTTCCAGCATCACAGCAAACCACAAGCCACCACAGTATGACAAACTGACATATGATATATACATATATATATGGCTCAAAAAGTGGAAAAATGAAATTAAAAGCCCCCTCATATATACTGTTTTTTTCAAATCTTATACAGGAAGCAGTTTCAAAACTTTAAATGTATTTATTATGTTTTTCTCAACCAAATCATCCTCAGATTAATGAGTTTTTACTTATCATGATACAATCTAAAAAAAAGCAAGAGTCTCTGGAGGGGAGTTTTGGTAAAAATCACTTCCTTGCCACTTACTTGGTTAGGATTTTTTTTTTTTTTTTAATTGAAAAAAAAAAGGACATACTTGTAATATTACAGGTTATTTTGAAATTTTAAAAATTATGTACGTCTCACCATCCTCAAATGACTATTTGTGTGTGCAGACTTTCTGTCTTTGTTGACATAGAGTTTTGCATAGAAGCTCTCAGAGTGCTTGTACCATATGCATATATGAGGGATTTCAAAAAATTCATGTAAAAAATTAACTAAAAGATAATGGAATTTTTCCACAAACTTTTTGAAGCCCCCTTGTATATTTTTACTAACATAATACCACTGACATTCTCCTGTGTTGCTACGTTACCGTGTTATCATTTTAAAGAGTATGCCATGTTCAGTTGTGTGTCTGCAGTCCTACTTACTGAATCTGTTATTTGTGAAGTTTTATGTTATTTCATTATATAAGGAGCAATCTTTTTGTAGTATTTCTTTGCTTCCCAGTTATTTGTAAAGAATTAGGAGTTGAAGTGATTGGACATTAAAAAAAAATTTTTTTTCTGCATCACCTTTTTGTGATCTAAAAGTTTGTATTGCCAGTAGCTGAGCGTAAGTGAGAGTGGTGGTGATGATGTGCCGTGGAGTCGGTTCTGACGCATAGCAACCCTGTAGAGGGTTACTAAGGCTGTAAATCTTTACAGGAGCTGAAAGCCTTGTCTTTCTCCATGGAACAAACTGCTTACTATGAGGTTAGCATCCTAACTTGTAACCAGTAAGTAATGTAACTAAATTGCTTTTAATGACACTCTTTGCAGACAAAACATGCTGTTGAGAAGTTGACTGATACCAAGAGAGACTTATTACAAACTGAATCAGATGCTGAAGAGCTAGAAAGGAGAGCTCAGGAAACTGCTATTAACCTTGTCAAAGCCGATCAACAGCTAAGGTATGTGAAGCCCCTTAGCCACTGAGATATAGTGGTGAGATGAATGAAAAACTTGGTTCTAAGAGGATACTAATTTTATGACAAATAGTACAATGTTAAGTCTAAGGGTCTTGGAGAAAAAAAGTGATGTGTTTTAGATTGCTCCAGGCTGATGCAAAGGATTTGGAACAGCACAAAATTGAGCAAGAAGAAGTCTTGAAAGAAATCAACAAAGTTGTAGCAACAAAAGACTCAGACTTCCTGTATTTACACAAGAAGAAGGAAAAACTGACAGAAGAGTAAGTAAGGCCTCTGCCGGGATGTGGGAATTTGGGACTAGAAGAGCACTCTCAGGTCCAGTCTTAATTCTGCTGGTGCTTTACAGGCTTCATAAGCTGCAAAAAGACATCGAGACAGCAGAGCGCAATGAGGACCACCACCTGCAGGTCCTTCAAGAGTCTGAGAGCCTTCTTCAGGCCAAGAGGGCAGAGCTGGAAAAGCTGAAGACCCAGGTATGACAATAGACACGTAGAATAAACAGTTCTGTTTTTGAAACCGACATTTGATTTATGATTTATAGAAGTAATGCATACAAGGGACTTCTAAAAATTCACAGAAAAATTGATTTGCCACCAACTTTTTGAAGCCCTCTTGTATTTTTGGGGAAAAGATTGGAAAAAAACAAAATATAAAGAGTAATTTTTGTATTGTACTCCTAATTGTTATTTGGGGAGCATAGTGGCTCTGTAGTATAATCATTAGACTGCAAACCACAAGTTTAACCAATTGCTTCATGGGAGAAAGATGAGCAAAAAGATGAGCAAAAGGCTCTCACAAAGATTTCCAACCTCTGAAACCCTCTTCATGGTCGCTGTGAGTCAGAACCAACTCGCCAGCACTTAAAAACAACAGCAGTGCTTATTGTAGAGTCCAACCCAAATCTGAATCTCAGTTTTATACTACATATTACTGAGTAAAAGGATTGAGACTCAGAACATGGGTCTGTGAGGTCATTTATTCTAAATGTATTAAAAACACAGGGTTTATATTGCAGTCTCTACCAAAGTTCAAAACTACCAGCTGTTCCGTGGGAGAAAGATGAGGCTTTCTGTTCCCGTAAAGATTTACAGCCTTGGAAACCTTGTACCAGGGTTACTATGAGTCGGAACTGACTCCACGGCACACAACAACAACAACAACCAAAGTACAAAAGTGGTCACCTCAGAGAGGGGATGATTCTGAGTATTTTTCTATTTTCTTCATTTTGCTTGTCTGTAGTTTCTGACTTTTCTGTAAATGTGCATTACCTTCAAGATTATAAGTCATTAAAAAATTTTACAAAGTGAATAAATAAACATAAATCCCTTGCCTTAGTATCTGTCATCACTGTTATTATCAAGTAAAAGATAGATATGAAAGTGCTTTGGAAGCCATAACCTGAAGGATAATCATACTGTTATTATTGCTGTGATTGGAGTAATTTTAAGAATATAAGCTTATGATCTGTATTAGGCATTTCACGCCCCTAATCCCCATCTGGAGTACCTGGGGTGGCACTGTCGAATAAGCACTGGACCACAATATCAGTTTGAACCACATGGTTGGCAGTTCAAACCCACCAGCTTCTCCTTAAAAACCCTATACAGGGTTACTATGAGTCAGAACCGACTTGACGGCACGTAACAACAACAACATGTATTAGGAGGAGTCCTGGTGTGACACTGTAGGATAAAAGCTGGACTGCAAGGTCAGTTTGAACCATCTCACAAACACACACACACACACACACACACACACACACACTCACACACGTCTAGCTATGCTGACTTTTGGAACTAGAGCATTAGGTCCTGATTCTTCTGCACAACCAGGTAGTTTTAGATTTTGTTTTTTGGACTTAGTTTTTTTCATTTTACCCCTGGAAACGGCAACTTTTGTCAAGCTTTGCATTCTTCCCTTTTCTTAAATGTAGATAACAAGTCAGCAACAGGAGATGATCGTCTTGGATAGGCAGCTGGGGCATAAAAAGGAGGAACTAAATCTACTCCAAGGAAGCATGGTCCAGGCAAAGGCTGACCTCCAGGAAGCTCTGAGTCTGGGAGAGACTGAAGTAGCTGAGAAGTGCAATCACATTAGGGTATGTTTTTTAATAGTTCTTTTTAAGAGCCCTTGGACAGTACTGTGGATTTATTTTAAGATATTTTCATTTGATTCCCCTTAAATGCAAACATAAATTGCTGAACTCTTAAAAACCCTGCAATGTTGCTTTGGTTTTATGATATGCTTCTATGCTGTGTCTATCTGGAGTAGTTCCCCCATACCATATCCAGGACCTTCCTGCCTCTGTGTCCTTTCTCAGACCATTTCTTCTCCAGAAATGCCCTTTCTCCCTCATCACTAGCTAGAACCTGTTTTTCATGACCAACCTTCTTAACCACCTATTTGAAGACTTCCTTGACATTTCCCCTACTCCTGCTTAAGAAGTTTCTCTCTTCTGAGTTCTGAGTCACTCTCTCTGTGTATTCCCTAGGGCATTTAGTGTGATCCTGTTGATGTGTGTGATCTTCCTTATTGCACGGTGAGGTGCTGAGTCCCTAGAGGACAGAAGCTATGTCTGAATCAACCCTTGTTTTCTTTGACAACACAATGCCTTGCACATATAAATGTCACATAGACTATTTATAAGAGAACTGATTTTAAAATAATTTCCATTCACAATTTTGCAGAAAGGCATGATTTTTTTCCCCCCTTCCACAGGAAGTAAAATCTCTTCTGGAAGAACTGAGTTTTCAGAAAGGAGAACTGAATGTCCAGATTAGTGAAAAAAAAACTCAACTTGCACTTATAAAGCAGGAAATTGGAAAAGAGGAAGAAAATCTTCAGGTAGTTTTAGGGCAGATGTTTAAACATAAAACTGGTAAGTTTAAAGAAAAAGAGTCATATAGGATTTGAGGTTAGAAAATGTCTATATTCCAGATCCCAAGAAACATTCAATTGGTCAAATTATTAATAAGTAAAGAAAAGCAAAGTTTAAAGGAATATATTATTTTCATCCATTCAAATGATTTATTTAAAAGCAGAATAATCATATTTCTTGCTGACTAGGATGTGGTGTAAGAGGACCAGGTATAGGTTATTGGTTGAAGTATGAACTGAACAGTCTCCCTGTGTCTCGAGCTTCTTAAACACCATGGGTATTGGACCTCTGACCCTGCTTCCTAGGAATCTAAGAGGGCAAGCATTTATGAGAATTGCAGCAGTGTTTATAACAGCAGAATTTGGAAATAGTGTAAATGACCCGTTTAAAACGATTTTAAACAACATTTAATGGCATACTAAAATGTTCATGTGAAAAGTGAAAGAAATGAGTAAAAATTGGACATGTACTAAAATCCCATTTTATTTTTAAATATCCATGGGTATGCATCCATACCCATGAAAGGAAATACTTCAAAATGCTATTGTACTAGGGATTATCTTTGGATGGTCAGATAATTATTTTCTTGTTTCTTTTATTTTCTGAATTCTATACAATAAGCAAATATTTTTGGTAGAGTGTTAACTTTAAATACCTACATTTCAAAAAGGCCAAAAAAAAATGTTTGTTTGTTTTTAATTTAATTTAAAAATTAGATGTATAGTTTAGTTTTTATATTTTATTTTATTTGTTATTTGTTAAAGTGCTGTTAACTTATTTAAAGGACCTTTGTTTTTCCTCATTAAAAAAACAAACAGAAACAATTTAATAACTTTCAGAGTTGAGCTCAAAACAGATGATCAAATTATCTGTACCATTATTTTCTATTTCATTTTGTTTCATTTCATATGTTTCTAAGTTCATTTACTAGCTTAGACCATGCTTTATTTCTGTCTGTTAGAACTCAAGAATATTCTGGACATATTGCAACTTGAAAACAATGAGCTACAAGGCTTGAAGCTACAGCATGACCAAAGGGTGTCTGAGTTAGAGAAGACACAGGTTCAAGTGCTGGAGGTAATGCACTAAGCTGTGGCACCCTTAGCAAACTGCAGTCTTTCTCTTACAGGATGTTTGAGTTCTGTTTTATCTGATTTAGGAAAAGCTGGAATTAGAGAATCTGCAGCACACAGCCCAACGACAGAAAGGGGAAATCGAGTGGCAGAAGCAGCTCTTGGAAAAGGACAAACGGGAAATGGAGCGAATGACCGCTGAGACCCAAGCTTTACAGCTGTGCATTGAGTCTTTGAGCAAAGAAAAGGAAGATCTCGAAGAGAAATGTGACAGTTGGGAAAAGAAGGTGGCACAAACCAAAAGGTGAGAGCAGGAACAGTAAGCCTGCCTGATTCCTTCATGAGGGTTAAAGCATTTTTCTGTGTGTGTCCAAATGATACAAACATAATATTTTTAAAAATTGGAAAATAGAGACTAAGAAAATAAACACACTACAAACTCACTACCCTAATACAATCCACCAATAGTATGTTATAGTGAATTTCCTTCTAATTTGCTTTGCTATCTATTATTTAAGATAATAATTCTTCCCAAATATATCTATAGATTCAAGACAATTCCAATCAAAATCCCAGCAGTCTTTTTTGTAGAAATTGATAACCTGATTATAAAATTCATGTAAGATTTAGAATAGAATCTAACTTTTTTATATGTGATGCCAAACACTTTTAAAAAGAACAACAAAACTTTAGGAGTACCACTATCTGATTTCAACACTTGTTTACATAATTATTAAAACCTAAATTAAAAACTTCTGGAAGAATAATAGGAGAAAGTCTCTGTGGCTTTAGGTTAGCCAAATCTCTTAGGTATAACACCAAAAGCTAAAAGGAAAGAATTTATAAAAATAGAAGTTAGTGAAGCTTAAAACTCTGCTTCTCAAAAGACAGTGTTAAGATCATGAAAAGACAGGCCACCAGCTGAGAGAAAATCTTTGTAACCATGTATCTGATAAAGCACTTATATCCAGAAAATATACATATATTTTTAAACCTCTCAAAACGCAGTAAGAAAACAACCCAATTTTAAAAAAATAGGCAAAATATTTGAGCAGATATTTCACCAGAGAAGATATATGAATGGCAAATAAGCACATGCAATAATGCTCAGGGTAGTAATCACTGTGGTCGTTGTTAGGTGCTATTGAGTACCAACTCCTAGTGACCCTGTGCACCACAGAAGGAAACACTGCCCAGTCCTGAGCCCGCCTCACAATCATTATTGCATTTGAGTCCATTGTTGCTGCCATCTTGTTGGGGGTCTTCCTCTTCTTCACTGATGCTCCACTTTACTTAGCATGATGTCCTGATAACATGTCCAAAGTATGAGAGATGAAGTCTCACCATTCTGGCTTCTAAGGAACATTTTGGTTGTACTTCTTCCAACACAGATTTGTTTATTCTTCTGGCAGTCTATGTACTTTCACTAGTGAAATGCAAATTAAACCATGAAGTGATATCACTACCCACCCATTAGATTGTCAAAAATTAAAGATTACTGTTCTACATGTTAGTAAGGAACTGCCATACACTATTGGTGGGAATGTAAAATAGCACAACCACTGTGGAAAACAGTATGTTATTTCCATAAAAATTTAAACATACACTTACCATCAAGTCCAGCCATTTCACTCCTAGGTATTTATGCCAGAGAAATGAAAGCATGTGTCTATACAAAGACTGTACACTGATGTGCATAGCAGCTTTCCTAGTAACAGTTAACCACTGAAAGCAAACTTACAGTCAGTTGGTAAATGGATAAACCATAATGTGCCACTCATCAGTAAAAAGGGATTAAAGTACTTATGTATACAAAAGCGTGGATAAATCTCACAAGAATTATGCTGAGTGGAAAAAAAAATCCAGACAAAACAAGTATATACTGTATGATCCCATTTATGTAAAAGAATGCATACTCCATATTTGTATCCATGGCTTTTCTAAAACTTCAATTTAGTGAGCTATTTTTAGAAAATCTCTTACTTATAAAGCTGCTGATAAAATTTCTTGAGAAAATGAACTGAAGAGGTAGATGTTGTGAAGAGTTTTCATTGTTCAGAGTTTCTGTGGCTGTTCTTTGTGAAATGGTAACCCTAGTCAGTCCTCAGTCATCTCGTGTATGTGCGTGAGCATTCTGTATCTGACGGTTTGACTTACTCTGCTTTTGCGGTAGAGTTTTGGCAGCTGCAGAAGAGACTAGCCAAACAGAACAGTTGAACTTAGAGAAGTTGGAATTGGCTGTCAGGAAACTGCAGCAGGAAGTAGACCAGCTAAACAGAGACAAGCTCTCACTGCATGAAGACGTTTCAGTTCTGCAGCAACAGCTACAAGGTATGTGGCAGCAGAACAGGAAAGACTAAGATTTTTCTCTGGTTTTTCTTCTTACATCAGTAATTCATGCTAATAGTTATGGGGTTTTTTAAAATTCAATTATGGTGATGGGTGCACAGCTTGGAATATATAAGAGCCACTGAATTGTACATATCAAATGAGTAAAATACGTGGCATGTGAATTATATCTCATTAAAACTATGTTTTTAAGTCATCTATTTTATTTAAAAGGAGCTCTGGTAATGTATTTGTTAGGATTCTGGCTGCTACCCTCAAGGTCGGCAGTTGGACACTACCATCTATTCCATAGGACCAAGATGAGGTTTTTCTGCTGCTATTAAGATTCATAGCCTCGGAAACCCTATGCAGGTGGCCTTGGGTTGGAACCGGCTCCACAGTAAACCACCACCACCATTTTCTTTAAAGAAAAAGTAAAAGTCATAGCAAAAAAGTTGAAAATAAAGATTATTATTAACTTACTCCTCAGAAGGAAGCCTTGTGGCACAGTGGAATAAGTATTGGCTTACTAACTGCAACATCAGGGGTTCAAATCCATTAACCTCTCATTGGAGAAAGATAAGGCTGTCTGCCCTTGTAGAGATTTCCGGTCTCGGAAACCCTGAGGAGCAGGCCTATAGGATGCCATGAGTGGGGATCATCAGCTCGACAGCAGTGAGTTGTTTTTCACTCCTCAAAGATAACTCCTGTTAACAGTTTAGTAAATATCCTTCCAGATTGTCATTTGTATATATACACACACATATATAGGGGCTCCTGGTGTGGTGCTGCAGGATTAGCACTGGACTGTGAACCACAGGGTTGGCAGTTCAAATCCACCAGCTGTTCCTCAGAAACACTATACAGCAGGGGTGGGGAATGTCCGGCCCTTGAGCCATATAAGGCCTTAGAAATCATGTGATCTGGCCCTGCCAAGGCAACCACAGTCCTAGCCATCACATTATAGCAGGCTCATTTTTAAGTTGAGCATTTTGTATAACCCACAAATAATGTTATAAATATCCAAATGACCCTTGACAGAAAAAATGTTCCCCACCCCTGCTACACAAGGTCACTATGAGTCAGAACCAACTCAGTGGTACTTAACACTGACAGTACATACATACATGTTGTTGTTGTTGTTAAGTGCCATTGAGTCGGTTCTGGCTCAGTGACCCTGTGTAGGGTTTCCAAAGAGTGGCTGGTGAATTTGAACTGCCAACCTTTCAGTTCAAACCAACCTTGTGGTCCAGTGCATTATCCCACCGTTTCACACCAGTACTTCACATATATAGGCTGAGGGTTAATGTGCTGGACTATAAGCTCTGTTGCACTGCAAGGTCAATGGGTCAAGTTCACCAGCCGCTCCTCGGAAACCCTAAACAGGGTTGCTATGAGATAGAACCGACTCAACAGCATTTAACAATATTTATCTATTTTTATGTATGTATATGTGTGCTTAGCCTACAGTGCCACACCAGGACTCAGACTTTGATAGTGATATAAAATTTATTCCTAAATTATCTTCCTGAAAGATTGTACCAGTTTACATTTCTACCAGCAATGTATGAGGTACCCATTTTTAAAATATGAATGTCACCAACACTGGGTACTATATTTAAGAATTTTATTTTTATTATGAGGTTTTGAACCTGGAAGTGTTTAAAACCCTGGACCCTGGTTTTTATATGTAACTCTGTCTTTTGGCCTTTAGTAAGATCAAAAGCACAAACTCAGACCAACCCTTTGCTGTCCCGTTGATGCCGAGTTGTAGCGTCTCTGTAGACTAGAATTTCCCCACAGCGTTCTCAAGACTAATCGGTACCGTAAGTCTGCCACATCTTTCTTCTGTAGAGTGGTTGGTGGGTTTGAACCACCAACCTTCCATTTAGCAGCCATGCACTTAACCACTGTGCTATTTAGTAAGCTAGTATGGCAGAATCATATGAACGGGCTTCAAAAAGTTTGTGGAAAAATGGAATGAAAGGATAATGGGATTTTTCCACAAATTTTTTGAAGTGCCTATGTACATGTAACAGAAATAGATTTTAATTTACTTCTGTTTTTAAGAGAGGCTGATGGGAACCTGGTATTTCTTACTTTATGAAAACTTTACTTTTGTAGAAAAACGGGAAGAGGTAAACACACTACAGGAGGAACTAACTCATGTCCAAGACCATTTGAACCTAGCAGAACAGGTAAACTTAGCAAATGTCATCTTCCAGTAGGATCCTGAAGGCATGCAAACAGTTGAAACAACAACAAAAAATCAAGCAGGCTGGTTTCTTTTCACAACAGCAAGTCCCATGGCAACATCTATACAACCCAAACATATAATTTAAAGCTTTGGTGCAAAGCAGTGGTTTTCTAATTTTATTTTAGTCCTAGAACTCTTGAGTCAAACAAAGTTTTACTCAAAGCTAATAAGTAGAGTCTGGCCTTTCAGCAGTCCCAAATGGACCTTCTCTGACTGACAAGGCCTCCAAAGGCTGGCTTTAGGTTTCATCACTGATTTGCCCAGTGACCTCCAGATCTGGCCCTCTGCCTTGTCAGATATTGAGTAGAGAGGCTTCTTGACTCTCTGGTACTTGATGATCTTAAAAGTAACTTTGTTTTGTCTCTTGGATAATGTCATTGTGTTAAGTTTCAAAGAACCCCAAGCAAATTGTGGACCTCAGTTTCCCTTGTATAAATTAGCAGCTAGTTTAGACATCTAATCTAGTTTACACATTTAATTCTCTTCCTGCTACCTTTAGGATCCTGTGCTTCTAAGACATATAAAACTTGAAATCAAAATGCTCTAGCTTAAGATTCTTAACCAGGTTCATATGAATATTTTCTGTGGGTTTCAAAAACACTTCATTCGGCTCCTTAAAGAAAGAAGTTTTATTATTTTCTATATAAATACTTTGAATAATAACAAAACCATGACTAGTAGGCTCATTTTTAACTAACATTATTAAAACTGACTCGTTTTTCTTAATCCTCTTTACAATCTTGAGATGGGTGTTATATATTTTTTCTTAACAATAAGGCAACTATAGCTTGGAGGAACTGGAGTTTCTTGCCTAAAGTTCCGTGTTTTTTATTTGACTTTGTTATTCCACCTAAAGGATCTGCTTCATGCCACCAAGCACCGAGACATGCAGCGTAGTGAGCAGACCAGGCTTCAAAAGGACATTAGTGACCAGAAAAAGAAGTTTAAAGACTGTCAAAAAGAAGGGGAGACCAAACAACAACAACTTCAACAACTTCAGAATGAGATTGAAGAAAACAAGCTCAAGCTAACCCAACAAGAAATGGTACCACACATTATCTCATGTAAAGGGAAGCATTTTGCCTCTTTTGTGAGTTTCTTCTTAGAAGAAAGTGGCTGAAAGGTATCCCCTCTGGGACTGCACTTCCCTTAACTGCCCTGTGTAAGCAGGTGTGAATTTTATGCCAACTATTAGAATCTCTTGATGCTAATGTGTATGGACCAGTAAGATCATAAAACATTGATTCTGTAAAGAAGTTTAATGACCACATTAAGATGTCCACCTTTACTATGTGAATACCTCTGTAATTTGCTGAACAAATAATTTTCCAGCCCCAGTTTGGTCACTTTGTTAGAGGGAGCTCACTGTGTCATAGTGGGCCATTTTCTCTACTCTGTGTTGACCTGGAATCTGTCTTGTGTCCATGGTGGTTCTCTCAAAGGGGGGTATTGAGTGATTGTTATTTTATGACTAACTAAGGTTGTTCTGTATTAAGATGTTTCAAAAACTCCAGAAAGAAAGAGAAAGTGAAGAAGAGAAATTAGAATCCAGTAAAGTGGCATTGAAGGAGCAGCAGCAGGAGCTGGAAAAGGAATTAACAGACCAGAGAAGCAAACTGGGGCAGGTGCTCACAGAGGTGTTGGTGGCTGAAGAACGTGTCAGGACTCTGCAGGAAGAGGAGAGATGGAGTGAATCCCTGGAGAAGACGCTTTCCCAAACCAGTATGTATTCTAGAATGTCGCACTGCGGTTAACTGTGTAAAGGAGACCCAGCACCATCCAGAAACCCAAAAGGAGGTAGGAGAATCAAAGCAGGAGATATGATACCTGGTTTGATGCTCATAGCCTAATGAATGATGAGGAAATGGCTCAGACAGACCATGAAGATTGGTAGCTTGCTTAGAGGCACGATTCAGTCCTGGGACTATTTGATTCTTGAGTTTAAGAGTGCTATCTCAAGCAAGGGGAACATGAAGGCAAAGAAGTGCCAAAAGGTACTCTAAAGGCTTTCTAAGTAGTAGAGTATTTATGAGCTTTGGGAACAATGATCTGTTCCATGTCAGACAAAAAACAATATGAATAAATTTATTTTTGTCCAAATTGGACATAGTAAATGGAACCAAAATAAAGGTATTTGCCTTTGAGTCTGTGTACTCTCTCTTTAGCCATATATAAATGAATTTGCCTTGGGAATCCAGGGTTAACAGTTGCTCACACGCCAATAAATAAGTTTTTTTTTTCATCATCTGCAAAGTTTAATAGGCTCAAAAGATGTTACTTCCCTTAGTGAACTCAATGGGTCTGGAGATCTGAAAGGGCTATTTCTCCTTCTCTGGGAAGTCTTGATATGCCCATTATGAAAATGGAACTTAGCTGATAGACTCAGAACTGAAACATGGACATGGGTGACTCTAAGTAGAGTGATTAGAAAAAGCCATTTCAAGGGCCCTTTTTATTTAGAAGCATTATTTATTGAGCACTCTTTGTGCCCCAGGTTTTTGCATACATGATTATCATTGAACAACAGGAGACAGGTTCCTCATCTTTAATTTAGGGCACATGTGTAGGAGTTTCCTATGTGATTTCCCCTGTACTCCCTTCCATGAAGAAAGAAATACAGATATGGCTGCCTTAAAGGCAAGGGTTATGAAGCAGCCTTCCAGCTGTCTAGTCCATGGACCACTGCACTCATGAATGGTGCACTGTTTATTCTCTTTTGTCTCCAAAACTTGAAAAGGAAAGCAACAGCTATCCTGGGATCAGGCCCTCCTGGAAACAGTTGCTTCGAGAGACACCCCCCTGCCCAGGCCTCTGGTGTGGGTCAGGTTAGATTTGTGGGACTTAGGTACGGATGAGAGTGCCTGAGGGAGTGACGTGTAATCTGCCCACAGCCAGCCCGCAGCCTCTGGTTAGCCTACTAACATTGTTCATTTCAGAGCGACAGCTTTCAGAACGGGAGCAGGAATTAACAGAAAAGTCAAGTGAGCTTGTGGCTCTCCAAAAAGAGACAGACTCTATGAGGGCAGACTTCAGCCTCCTGCGGAACCAGTTCTTAACAGAAAGAAAGAAAGCCGAGAAGCAGATTGCCAGCCTAAAAGAAGCACTTAAGACCCAGCGCAGTCAGCTGGAGAAAACCCTTCTTGTGAGTACCTGCTGCCCTAGCAGCTTAGGAGGTAATTGATGCATTTAAATTTCTAAACTAAAACAGTCAGTGCAGCAGAAAAAAAAAAAAAATCTATTGTCCATCAACTCTGTACCTAATCCTACTATTGGTATTGGTGTGCAGATGCCTAATCCATTCTTCCAAGTTGGCTGTAGGTGGTTCCCTAAAACTGGGCATCAGCCTCAGAGGAGTTCTCGGGCTGAATGGTGTGGTGCTGTCTAGGATAAGCACTGGACTGTTAACTGCAAGTTAGGCAGTTCAGACCCACCAGCCACTCCTCAGAAAGCCCTATGCTGGGTCACTATGAGTCAGAACCATCTCGGTGGCACAACACAAAGTTGGCAGTCCATACCCACCAGCTTGCTTCTCTAAAGATTGACAGTCTTTGACTCGCTAGGGAAGTTCTCCTCAGTCCTATAAGGCCTCTGTGAGTCAGAATTGACTCGATGGCAGTAGGTTCTGTTTTGGGGAGGGTTATTGTGAAAGAGCTCCCAAGTGGTGCAAGCAGTTAAGCACCTGACTAGTAGCAGAATGGTTGGGTTTCAAATCTACCCAGAGATGCCTCAGAAGAAAGGTTTAAGGGGTCACAACCACAGAACCTTGTGGAGCACAGTTCTACATGGGACTGCCACAAAGCAGGATCAGCTCATCCGCAACTGGTTTGGTTTGTTTTGGGGTTTCTAGGTACTGCACAAATGTCACTTTACAAATCATGTGTTTTCCAAAGGGTGATTTTGCATATATGATTATAAAGATAGAATGTTAAGTGCCATTGAGTTGGTTCCCATCCACAGTGACCCTGTATAGAGTTTCCAAGGAGCAGCTGGTGAATTTGAACCACTGTCCTTGTGGTGGAAACCAACATTGCAGTCCAGTGCATCATCCTACATTGCCACATTAGAACTCCAGAGATAGAATATAGATGTCTAAATTTTAATCCTATGATGAAGGATGTTTTTTGCGTTGGTAAAAGAGAAAATAACTATCAAAAATAATGCTGCAATACTTGACTGTGTAGACTTTGAGCTAAGAAACTTGAATATGGTGCACTTCTAGCTACACTACACCTGTCAAAGGCGGGTGGAACTTTTAGATTTAGGGACTCTACAGCATTTCACTACAACAACAAAGAACTAGGGAAGCTGAGACCCTGATGGGAATCGAATTATAGAACTAGTGAGTGTGTAAGCTGGCAAGCCACAGCACTACATATTGGACTCGAGAGTCATGGTCCTCTTTCTGTGTTAGGAACAAAAACAGGAGAATAGCTGCATGCAGAAGGAAATGGCAACAATTGAGCAGGTGGCCCAGGACAACCATGAGCGGGCCAGGCGCCTGATGAAGGAGCTCGTCCAAATGCAGCACGAATACACGGAGCTCAAGAAACAGGTGTGTGCCCACAACAAGGGGGGTCATTCAGTACCTTCACTCCCTCAGGGCTCCAGCAGAGTTGTTTACGGGGGAAAAAAAAAACCTTACAGAGGGGATTGGTTTGCAAATTTGTAAAAAGCTTATTATAAGAATTTTAAGTCAAATCTGTTTTTCCAGTTTTAAAATTTAGAAGTACACTTCCACAGAAGGATTTATTTGTTAAAAGTAGACTTTTTCATTGTGAGCTTTGCCATTTAAACCATTTAAGTGTGCAATCCAGTGACATTCATGACATTCGCCGGGTTGCACAACTATCACCACTATTTCAAAAAGTTATTTTTCATCCTAAACAGAAACTCAGTACCCCTTAGAAAATTCATAGGAGCCAAAATGTAGGAAAAAACCTACATTTCCATTAACAAGTAAGTAAATGGATAAACAAAACGTGGTAAACGCATACTCAGTCAGTAGGAGAAATGAAGTCTTGATGCATGCTGCAATATGGATGGAACTGCATTTGACATTTGTGAATTGATTTATATAAAAAGACCAAAAAAACAAAACAAAACAAAAAAACAGGCAAATGTTTAGAGACCTACATTTATTAGTGGTGACACAGAGGCAAGAGAGAGGGAAGAAAGTGGATTATTGGGAAAATCTCATTGATTAAGCATACGATTCCACAGCTGATTCTTGTGATTACTGTCAATAAACTGTGCAACTGTGAAAAGTTGCTTACACTGTGAGATCGATATGTTTACAACAATGGGAAAAAGAAGAGCAGCTGCTGAGGGTGCTTATGTCTAAACACACACACCTTATGAAATGTGCTTGGTGCTTTGGAGGCTTAAAGTCATGGTTTCCTGGACCATCCCTGAGAACTCTGTTCTGCCTCCTAGTTCATTGTGTAGTACTGGGCTCTTAAAAGCTGGCAGGTGGCCATACAAGGCACAATCGGTTTCTGTATTCATCTGGAACAACAGAGGAAGAAGGAGAGCCAGGAATAGGAGGATATGGAATGTGTGGCCAGCTGCTTCCTTTGTCATGAGAACAAGAACTGGATGGTATCTGGCTACAGGTCTTGAATACTTTGATCAAAGATTCTATAGGAGAATCCAAATTAAAATGTGGAAAATGTAGAACAGAATTACATTTTCTCATGGAATCTAGACTCTCTGGAACCATGAAGGTTGCATGAACCCCTGAAACTACTGCCCTGTGATCATCTTTAAACCTTAAAATAAAAGTATCCCCTGCAGTCATCTTAAAACTGAACAACAGTTAGGCCTAAGTAGTTTAAAAAAAAAAAAAAAAAAAATTAGTCTGCTTTATTGACAACAGCAACTCACAAAATTAGATTAGAAAATTTGTTAAGTGCCACGGAGTGGGTTTTGACTCATAGCAACCACGTATAGGATTTCTGAGGCCTTTAATTCTTTTTGAAGGAACAAAAAGCCTCATGTTTCTCCCTTGGAGTGGCTGGTGGGCTAAAACCCACTGTGAGTGTTAGAGGGCAGTGAATTTCTGTTAATGAGAAAGGTTAACCAGTGTCACTAAATTGTATATGTAGAAATTTGAATTGGTTTGTTTTGCTCTGTAAATTTGCAACAACAAAATCTCCCCTCCCTTCAGCCCTTTGGTAACTACTACTAAGCTTGGCTATCTGCCAATTCTAGATATTTCATATAAACAGGATAATAGAGTATGTATCTTTTTGTATCTGACTTATTTCACTTTGTAGAATGCTTTCAAGATTCTTTTTTATCATCCTATGTATTAGAACTTCATTTTTCTTTATGGCTGAGTAATATTTCATTGTATGGCTATACCACACTTTATCCATTCATCTATTGTTTCCATCTTCATAATGATGCAGTACGAGCATCTGTCTGAGTTCCCAGGTTGGGAGGTTTGGATTGTGTACCTAGGACTTGAGTTGCTGGGCTCTTTCCTAACTCAGTATTAACTCTTTGAGGAATTGTCAATGTTTTCCTCAGTGGCTGCATCTCTTTGCATTGCCTCCAGCAGTGGATGAGAAGACCCCAGTTTCTCCACATCCTCATCAACACTTACTATTTTCTGGTTTGCTGGGTTTCAAGAATGGGAATGGGAAAAATGCTGTAGTACTTTCAGCCAGGGAAACATCTGGGCCACTCCTGAACTCTAACTGGGCTGCTGTGGCCCAGCTACTCTTTGTCCTTGGAACTATCCATAGTCATTCCAGTTCATCTGTGCCTCCTTTTCCGTACACACACCCTCTGACTCCATAAGAGATAACTTTTAATTTAAAAGCCCCAATCCTTAGTGACTATATAAAATAAAAGCATTTACCAGATCATTTCTAAGGATTCATCTGCATTAATGTTTATGATCAAGATCACGTAACTTGTTTCAATATATGGCCCTTTGGAGATGGTTGTAGTTGCCATTTATTAAGTGCCAATTCTCATTTAGTTCTCCCATATCTGGGAGAGTTACTACCTCAGTGTATAAATGAGGTAACAGACTGCACAGTTAGCTAACTTGTTCTAACTCATACTGCTAACGTTTACTGGAAATAAAATTGGCGTCTCGCTTTGTCTTCACTTCAAAGAAGCGGACTTCCATAGAGTAATTTACCATCAAGGAAATGATGTGCATGTTTTCCTCAACTGTAGTTGCTCAATCAATAGGCCAGTAAAATTTCTTCCCTGGTAGTTTATACTTGGTTACATGAATAATTCCAAGTTTTAAGAGTGCTAAAAAACACAGAGGTTGTCATTTGTAAATCTTTAACTGTAACTATATATGACACATTAAAACAGCTCAATTGTAGTAACTTCCTAACTTGACCCAGGGGGCTTTACTATTTGACTCTCCCTCATGTTTTAAGATGGCAAACCAAAAAGATTTGGAGAGAAGACAAATGGAAATCAGTGAAGCCATGAGGACACTTAAATCTGAGGTGAAAGATGAAATCAGAACCAGCCTTAAGAATCTCAACCAGTGTCTTCCAGAACTACCAGCAGAACTGGAAGCTATTTTTGAAAGAAACGAAAACTTAGAAGGAGAGTTGGAAAGCTTGAAAGAGAACTTTCCATTTACCATGAATGAACGACCATCACTTTTTGAAGAAAAACTAAACTTTTCCCAAGTTCACATAATGGTAAGGGTTTGTCCTACTCTGCTCTGGGCTGCATAGAAGGGTAATTTGGGCTTTTGAAAGACTGGTTCCCGCACTTTCCCAGATAAATTGAAAAAACAGAATTGAGGGTGGCTGGTTGGTTACTGATGGACTCACTGATGTGTCCCTTTTCCCTATGAAAAAGGATGAACAGTGGCGTGGAGAAGCACTTCGAGAGAAACTGCGTCACCGTGAAGATCTACTCAAGGTTGCCTTTAAAAAGACAAATAACAGTTATGAGATAGTTATCACATTGGAGAAAGTGAGATCAATTTCTTACATTCACAGACTGCTCTCACATTCCCTCTGTTACAGCACTGAGAGCAATTTCATAGATTACATAGTGGAAGCTCAGAGAAGATGGCATATCAGTTTGGCAGTGGCAAAGGCATTGTTCTTCAACCTGTGTAATATGCTTTGCCTCTACTACAACCAACTCAACCTGTGTAATATGCTTTGCCTCTACTACAACCAACTAAGTACTTGGGGCAGGAACTAAAAAATGGCAACTATAATTTGTCAGTTATATTGTGTTAATATTTACCTGATCCATGAGTTCCTCCTAAATTAGTGACTGACTTTTCCAATTTCACACAGAAAACTTTATGTAAAATTGAGGTTTCTTTTCATAGGCTCCAGGTTAAGAGGAATAATGGTAGGCACAGACATTCCCCTCTTCCCAGGCTACAGGGGATAAAATCACGGGCCAGTGGTTGGGGGAACAATTAGTAATACTGGAAAAGTAGGCTTCAGTGTCAGATAAGTAGTTTAATAAGAACACACTGCATTTGAGGGACATATATCTGTAGGCAGCTGAAAATCAGAGTCTGAGATATTGTCTAACAGTCAATATTGACCATCAGCTTTAGACCTAGAGAATCTGGAGCTGAAGACTCTATAAAGTGGGAGTAGAAATAGAAGCGTGAGATCACCTCCAGGCCAAATGTTGAACACACAGGATGTGTGTTTGGAGAAAGACTGTACCACACGGGCAGAGAGGAGGCAGTGCTGCCAACTGTAGCCTCCAACCATGTGTGGCTATTTCAATTTTTAATTAAACATAAAAATTCAATTCCTTAGTAGCTGCATATTCATCATTAAGAAAATTCTGCTGCACAACACTGCTTTAAACTTTGAACCATTTCAAGGGTACAGCTAGAGACCTGGTCAAGGATGAAGTAAATACAATTTGTGCATAGTGAGGAAACAGTGAAGGTATCAAGCTTCATCTTCTAGATCATGGCGGGAGAGGAAGAGAGATGAAGCAGTGATTTAAAGAGGGAGGTGTAAGGGGTGAAGAAATCCTAATCACTTAGAGTGGAGAGAGTGGTAAACGTTTATGCATTGAGAATTATCCATCTAGCACCTCCCTCAGTGTTTTTTAGGACAAGAGCATTTTTAGCAACAGTTCCTACTTTCTGGCAGTCATATTTACTTACCAGATGAGGAAGCTAAATCATAGTTCTGGTAAATTTTTTGTGTATAAAACCCTAAATTGTATCTTGACATTTTCTAGGCTCAGCTTCGACACTGTATGTCCAAACAAGCAGAAGTATTAATTAAAGGAAAGCGGCAGACAGAAGGCACTTTACACAGTCTGAAGAGACAAGTTGATGCTTTAGGGGAATTGGTCACCAGCACTTCTGCAGACTCAGCTTCTCTGTCACCCGGTCTGTCTCAGCTGGGGTCTTCCTTTGCTGAGGACTCTCAATTTGGACAAAGCCAGGTAAGAGGAAGTTCTTAACAGGGATTTTGATGTATTACATGGAAAGTAGTTGAAACCTTTGCATATGTTTTCTAGAGGTGACTTTAGAACATAAACCCCACCTTCTAAACTCTGTAAAATTTGTCTTAAGACCTGGGGGGCTTTTAAGGTCACAGTGGGGAAGGATGGTAAGTAGATGGCTTGGGAAGTAAACTAGAACTGGGATTTGGGTAACTGTCAGGGATCTAGTTTACTATTAGGTTCTCTACTACTGGTGAGGCCAACTTGAGTCCTAGTTTAGTTGGTCTCCCAGTAGCCTGGGAAGAGGTGACTGTGCCTACCTTTATTCCTCTTAACTTGGGGTCTATGAAAAGGAACCTGAATTTTACATAAAGTTTTCTGTGTGAAACTGAAAAGGTTTGTCACTAATTTAGGAGAGAACATGAAATAAACTGATGACCAGGTAAATATCAACACAGTATTACTGACAGATTACAGCTGTCACTGACAGATTACAGCTGTCATTTTTTCAGTCATTTTTTCAGTTCTTAACTATGTATATTTTGCTAAACAGTTTACATGTATTATTATTTAATCTTTACATACTTGGATTAGGAAAACTGTACAAAATGGTAAATGACCTGGTCAATGTCACAGTAAGTGACAAAACCAGGAGTTAGGGCTATACTATGTTCTTTGTCACAAAGCAGTAAATTACAGGGATTGAGCCCCAAGAAACGTTCAAGAAAAAGTGCCACTTCAATAGACCTACAGAGTAAGCAAATTACTTAGGGTCACACAGCTAATAAGCAGCAGAGCCAAAATTTGAATGTAATTACCAAATACTTTCTCTGGTAGGACCCAAGTCAGGTAAAGGCCAAAGCCATCATGGGGTTCATGACCAGCAGGGCATAATGTTCAGAGATGTTTTCTGCCTCTGAGATTTAGTGGGATGCTCCTACTCCCCTTTTAGTACATGCTGCCATTTGCTAGGGGTCTGTATAATAGTGAATCTGAGAACACATGCCTCATTCCACCTACCCCAGCAATAGAGCCCCTCAGGACATTTGTGTCCCACAAAGTATATCAGAATTTCATTATTACCTAAAAAAATTTTTTTTTCATTTCATTCAAAATGACTTTCATTACTGAAAACACATGGGTTAACAAAAAGCAGAAAACGTACCTGGAAAGGATTGAGAGAGTGAAGAGCACTTGTTACGTGCTGTTGAGTCAGTTCTGTCCCAAGCGATGCTGTATAAGGTTTCCAAGAAGCAGTTGGTCAATTTGAACCACTGACCTTGTGGTTCAAACTGACCTTGCAATCCACCAGGGCTCCTTAAGAAGCACTAGCCATTGAACAATTGGTGGGTTTCCTGAGGTAGGACAGCTCTTAGTAGTGGGAGAAGAATGCAGAGTCAGGTCCAGCTATCAGCTCACGGTGGAAGCTGAATGAATTCAGGTGCTCTGAAGTCCTGGTGTGGTGCTGAGGGTTAACGTGCTGGACTGCAGTCGATCTCAACTGTGAGGTCAGCTGTTCAAGCTCACCAGCCACTCCTCGGAAACCCTATACAGGGTCACTATGGGTCAGAATTGATTCCATGCACTTAACAACGAAGTCAAGAGGGTAAAAGGAGACATTAGGAAGCACAATGGCTAGAATCAAAGTGGGGTTGTAATCCAGGACTGAAGAGATGAAGTAGGTAGGGGTCCTCAGCACTAAAAGGCAGTTCAAATCCATCAACGGCTCCTCGGAAACTCTATGTTCATGGTTATGAGTCGGAACCAACTCGATAGCACTCAGCAGCAGTAGGTTTGAGTTAGGGGGCTGTTTTTGAAACCTAACTTTTCATCTTCCTTCTTTTCAGAGCTCCTTCCACCAAGTTATACCAGGTCCTTCAGAATCCCTAGGCCGTTACCTACACTGATGACATCCACCACCTACTCACAGGGTGCATGTTGCAGAGATCTTTTAGTTCGCACTTTCCATTGGAAGATTTCTAAATGTGAGTCTTTAAAAGACATCATCTTTTAATCTTACTGTTACAAATATTTAATTCATCCTTCTACCTTTTAGAAAAATGGTTCAGCCACATATGGAATACATTGCTTAAAAACCACTACCTCACTAACTTCATAGTTGAAATACCACTTTGTTTTTTAGCAAGATCCAGTGAATTCAGATGCTCAATCTGCCCAGGAGTTTATTTTCTTGAATCATTAATGCCAAGGATTTTGTAACTCACTTGTACAAATGAGAATAATTGTTTAATACTTAAACCAGGGCCATCAATGGCTGAGGGTTTTTTTTTTTTTTAATTTTTTTTTTTTTCAAAGCTTTGGAATGTTATGGGGGAGTAATTGATTTCTAACTGCACATTTTTAAAATGTATATATAATAACAAAGAAGAAAATGTACTTAAACTTTTCATTATTATATAGTGTTATTTTTGGATTTTGCATAAAATCTATTTTCATATGAAAATAAAAGATAACAAATTTGGGTTTGGGTTTGTCATCTATTTCACAGATCAATTGTAAAAACCTACATTTTCACATAATTCCATGAAAACAAGTCTTTCTTTCAAATGGCCTTCCATCTTCTGCCTGGAGGTTGACGTATGTTGTACTTACTTCTGAACGTATTTCATTTGGAAATAAGAACTATGACACTGCAGCTGTTGTCCCTGAGACAAAAACACCTCTTTTTGGTGGAAAACTAGGAAAACGTTATTTGGAGACTGTAGTGGTGAATTCAGACTTCAGTAATTAAGCATTTAGCGATATGATCTGTAAATTACTTGTTTAAAAATAAGGACAACAACTTAGCCGAGTTGTGTGGCAACCAGATTATTTCCAAGGGCCAAGTGCAGCATGAAACTACATGTAATAGATAGGTTTTAAGATATTCCCAAAAACTTTTTCCTAGGCAGCACTAGAGCCAGAACAGGTATTATATTAATACAATACAGAATAGCACAGAACAGTAATCCTTATCACCTTACTGAGGTTTATAATCCTAGATAATTATGTTTGGCTAGAACTGGACTATCAAGATAGGACTAAACGTAATTATAATAAAGACAATGAAAATGGCATAGGATTTATTAACAATGAATAATTTATAGAAGGCATCTACTTCCAAAAGGAAAAAAATAACATTGTTAGTGTCTCTTCTATTTACATTCTCCTGTTTTCTTAAGTTTTAGCAAACATATTTAAAAAGTTTGACCAATTCACAATGATTAAAATCTTTTAGGGCACACTTCTTGGGCCTGTCTCCATGCTGGAGAAGGGTAAATCAGCTTCTCTCTATACTGCCAAGTGAACAGGAATCATTTAGGTTTCTTTTCTTCTTTAAGGAGATTTAATGGAACCCTATATCTGTAAGATCACACTGAAAATAGTTCTCAAAACGATGATCTTATAGAATTAGAGGTGAGGTAAACACCTAGTTTCAAAAGACACAAAGAATTGTGGCACTGTGGGTTAATGCACCGGACTGCAAGGCTGGTTTAAAGTGTAAGGTCAGCAGTTTAACCTACCCCGCCAGCCACTCCTTGGAACCCTGTACAGAATTGCTATGAGTCGGAATTGACTGGCGGCTTAACAACAACTATTATTTCATGAACAAACAGCAAAAAAAAAAAAAAAAAAAAAATACATCAAATACTTTATTGTCCATGAAAAATACTTGAACGTTGTACTAGAATGTTTTCTAATGCATAAATAGTACTGAACACCAACTGCTAATCAGGAGGGCCTCTTCAAGGTACGAGGGCCATGAGTAACCTAGAGAAGCAGGTTGATCATACAAGCAGGAAAAATGTCATGGATTAGAAATTAAGAGAATTTCACATTCTCTCAAAAGTACTGCCCAGTGCCTGGCACACAGATAGTACAGTATGACAATTTGTTCCTCTATGTTTCAGCATCCAAGTTTATTTATAGGGACTGCACGTGCAAATAACAGATTTGGCCCTAAGTACAGTCAAGGGAGAACAAAATCATCCACCAAATGTGCTGATCTCACACTGAAAAAGGCTGACTGAAAACACCACAGTGTGATCTAAACACAGGATTAAAACTAGCTCAGTTACTCAACTCAGTGATGTGGTTTTATACGCTAAATATGTAGGCTTTTCTCTTTATACAATATGCACAATTCTACAACAAAAAACAAGTCAATAAATGTTTTGTCTGAAGAAAAAAGGAAATCCTATCGTAATTCAGAAAATAATGCAACCAATATTAATTTAATCTAGATACAGGTACTTTATTTACAAATATTTAGATTAATAGCATTTTGTTACATCAAATGAAGGGTACAGCAGTCTGAATAAATCCTTCTGTCACAAAAACAATTTAAGACCCACTGTAACGAACTTTTGGAATCAGGGTATTGTACCTAAACAAGCTGCAATCTTTAGTTTGTAATGGCTACCTTAGATTCCAATGGGTAGTTGGTTTTGGTTTGTAAATATATACACATACCAGCAGGTCATGGTCCCGGAGGGAGTTCCTTTTGATGCAGCAATGTAAGCAAAATGGATCACTGTAAATCTTTAATAGAATATACCAATGTACTTCAGGAATCTGGTTTTTTAAAAAGCTTAAAGACAAAAATAAAGATGAGCCCACAAATTGACCAAATCCTATTTTCTGCATATTCCAGTTTTGGCTTTATTTAACATTGACTATACACCACATGTTTACAACCCAAAAAGATGTTCTTTACTTTAGTGTCCCTAGAGAGGGATTTAAAATGTGTACTTTAAACATAGCACTTCAGCTCAGTGCATTCTGTATCATGTGCTAAGGCTTACCTACTATTTCAACTAATGTCTGGATTCCTAGCCTCTAAATCATAAACTCAATTACAATTAGGAACAGTAAGTAACTTGATACCTTTGTTGTCTAAAGATATCAAATTGTTTCTCTTAAAATACAGTATTCTTTTAGTGGCCATGCCACCTGATACAAAGTAGTAAGTTACTTTGTATCAGCACACACATAATACCTTTAGCAACACTTTCCCT